AAAAAAAAAAAAAAAAAAAAAAAGTTAAAATTTATAAACTTTAAGAAATGTATAAATGGAAATCGATAAACTGAACTTCACCAAAAACATGAATTTTTGTTCATCCAAAGCTTTCGTTAAGAAACTGAAGAAAGGTTGGGTGCAGTATTTCATGCCTGTAATCCCAACACTGTGGGAGCTGAGGCAGGAGGATCTCTGAAAGCCAGGAGTTCAAGACCAGCCTGGGTGACATGGAGAAACCCCATCTCTATGAAAAAGTTAAAACATTAACTGCGTGTGGTGGTTCACACCCATGGCCTCATTCACTCAGGGAGGCTGAGGTGGGAGGATCGCTTAAGCTTGGGAGGTTGAGGCTGCAGTGAACTATAATCCCGCTACTACACTGCAGCCTGAGCAACAGCGCAAGGGCCTGTCTCAGAAAAAAAAAAAAAAAAAAAAGCAGGGTGCGGTGGCTCATGCCAGCAACCCCAGCACTTAGGGTGGCCAAGGCAGAAGGATCCCTTAAGCCCAGGATTTCTTTTTTTTTTTTGAGATGGAATCTCACTGTCACCCAGGCTGAATACAGTGGCATGATCTCAGCTCACTGCAACCTCCTGGGTTCAAGCGATTCTCCTGCCTCAGCCCCTCAAACAGCTGGTACTACAGGTGCCCACCACCATGCCTGGCTAATTTTTGTGTTTTTAGTATAGATGGGGTTTCACCATGTTGGCCAGGCTGGTCTCGAACTCCTGACCTTGTGATCCATCCACCTCGGCCTCCCAAAGTGCTGGGATTACAGGCGTGAGTCACCACACCTGGCCAAGCTCAGGATTTCTAGACCAGCCTGGGTAACAAAGTGAGACCCCATCTCTGCAAAAAATAGAAAATGTTAGCCAGGTGTGGTGGCGTGTGCCTATAGTCCCAGCTACTTGGGAGGCCGAGGCAGGAGGATTGCTGAAGCCTGGGAGTCCAAGGCTACACGGAGCTGTGACTACGCCACTCCACTCCACTCTAGTCTGGGCGACAGAACAAGATCCTAACTCAAAAAAAAAGAAAAAAAAAAAGGCAAAGATTTCAGCAACTGCCCAGGGCTGGACATTACTGCCCAAGTTCCGTTCAGGGCGGGTGGATCTGGGCAACTGTGGGTCTCAGCTGGGATCTTGGTTTTGGTTGCTCAGCAGAAAACACACTTGCTGCTTCAAGAACACCCGGCAGCTTT